GTGGGCGAACAAGTCGATATATATGAGTCAGAACGGCAGCCATAGGGTACATAATGTTCATCATTGTTGAATATGGTAGATATGCACGGAAGAGCACTGATCCTATCGGTGCGCGCTCGCTATGGTTTTGTTATCGCGACAGTGACATTTTATTGTGGCAATCAAATGATTAGGGACCACCGGGTAAGCCTAAAAAGTCGCGAGCAGAATCTGTGCAGATTTCTCTGCACCGTAACTGCTAGTGTGCACGCATCTAGTTGGTCAGATAAAACGAGATCTGGCGCCATCGCAACCCATGTCCTACCATAGTGAAGAGCGTGGCTGAAAGATGAAGCAAACACACCCTAATTTATTAACGCAGTGAGTTCTATTGCAAGCCCTCGATGTTTGCGGATTGCCGCGCACGGGGCTCTATTGCAAGCCCGCGATGTTTGCAGATTGCCGCGCACGCGACGTCGCGTGGTTGCAAAGACTCTCATGCTTTCCTAGTCGCTCATACCGCTAAAGGGCGCTCAAAATGCTGCCGCAAAGTATGAATGCTCTCTTATCCTTTTGTAATGATAATATTAGCTCACCAGATCCTAAATTCTTGATGAAGCTATATTGAATAGGTAGAAGCTCTGACTCTTCTGATGCCAGGCTATATCTGCTGAGATCATCCTCTTCACTGCTATCACATGACCGTATACTTTGGGGTTCGCAAGAGCGCGTAGACGACCCGTCATAGCCAGAATCGGTTGACGTGGGCGAACAAGTCGATATATATGAGTCAGAACGGCAGCCATAGGGTACATAATGTTCATCATTGTTGAATATGGTAGATATACACGGAAGAGCCATTATTATAAAGAGAGCAATCGATTATGGCAACAGGCATAAGCAAATCTGTAACACGATTACTTTATGATATGGTATTGCCCTCGCGGGTAGGGCGGAGTTGACCTTAGGTCATCACCGATATCCTCATGGATATGATTGACCTTTCGGTCACCTTGTAACTCGACTAAACACTCACCGTTGAATCTAGCCTCTTTACAAAGTAACTGCGATCGATTCTCACACTGCACACACTAAAAGGTGTACGAATCGCAGTAGAACGAAAGACGTGGTCTGAAAGCATGTTATGAAAAGCAGGGATATCAGATAGGAGACTTTATTGCGATTACATATCGAACAAAGTGGGTGTGTATGTTTGGAATTCGTGAAAAAAATGTGTGATATGCATGCAACGAGTTGCGTCATCGAACGAATTTCTTGATTATGAATGACCTCAACGAAATGACGCATTCATAGCGTTGAGCAATAACAAAACCGACAGCATGTAATTGTACATCAAAAGCTTTTGCGGGCATTTTATTTTGAAAAAACCTGGGCGCAATTTGGCTTGGTGTGGGCACCCAGTGGTACTGAGCTAAGCTGGTACGAACCTTCTAGTGGAAGGGAGACGGGCAAGAGAATCGTGATTTGCCGTTCCGCCGCGCGCGGCGATCGGCGCGGCGTTTTCTTAACTCGTGTTAACCTGTCGATTGGATGGACTTCATGTAGACCCCGTCATCATAGACATTCATGACTATTTTCGGTTCTGAATTGCCTGTTGTCGCCATCTACCTGGAACCATCGTCATTTGCGGGCGCGACGTCGCACGCGACGCTCATCAGCGCGGCGAATTACGATTCTCTTGTCACATACCCCGAGTGAAAGGTGTAAATTTCTGTTCACCTAAGTGGCTCACTAACAGTTTAGCAGCCAGCTTGACAGGATTACATAGGTCTGACCAAAGTGAGATCCGTCTGTTACCAGAGGAAACAAAGGAAACTAGCGCAAGTACACGATGCCCCCTT